TTATTATTATTATTATTATTATTATTATTATTATTATTATAGTATAGTATAGTATTAGTACAGTACAGTAATAGTAATAGTAATAGTATAGTACAGTACAGTACAAGGGTAGGCAATCGTGGCTCTTTTATGACTCGTGGACTTCAACTCCCAGAATTCCTGAGCCAGCATGGCTCAGCTTGGAAACCTCTCCCTTTCCCCTCAGCATGGCTGGCTCAGGAATTCTGGGAGTTGAAGTCCATGAGTCATAAAAGAGCCAAGGTTGCCCACCCCTGGTATAGTATAACATAGTTGGAAGGGACCTTGGAGGTCTTCTAGTCCAACCCCCTGCTCAGGCAGGGAACCCTGTACCATTTCAGACAAATGGCTGTCCAGTCTCTTCTTAAAAACTTCCAGGGATGGAGCACCCACAATTTCTGGAGGCAAGCTGTTCCACTGGTTAATGGTTCTAACAATCAGGAAATTTCTCCTTAATTCTAGGTTGCTTCTCTCTTTGATCAGTTTCCCTCCGTTGTTTCTTGTCCTGCCTTCAGGTGCTTTGGAGAATAGCTTGACCCCCCCCTCTTCTTTGGGGCAGCCCCTGAGATGTTGGAAGCGTGCTATCATGTCTTCCCTAAGGGATCAGATTGGGGCAGGTCTGACACTGGACATGGGGATGATGGGAGGATGAGGTGTGAGGCCCTGATTGTGCGTCTTGAATTAGGGAGGCTATTCAGCTGCCAGGTGGAGATTCTGATTTTTAAGGAATAGGGTCAACCCGGACTGTGGACGCCAGTGCAAAAAGGACTTTAGGAATCACAGCCTGCAAATTTTGAATTTTCTTTTGGAAAGGACATGAATACGAATCCCGGTGTTACCAATGAGTTTAGGAAAAAGTGAAGCCTAAAGGCTCTCAACTCTTTAGTGGATGAATTGGTAGCTGCCATTCCGCACTCTTTTTAGGTAGGGCCGCACATTTAAAGGTGTGTGTGTGTGTGTGTGTGTGTGTGTGTGTGTGTGTGTGTGTGTGTGTGTGTGTTTCGTTATTCCGAACCCGCTTTGGCGGGTCGGGCGAGATCGTAATCGGGAGCCAAAGATTAAAAACAATTCTTTTAAATAAAACGACCGGGCTTTGAGGGTCGCTCGTTTTTGAAGTTTCTCAAAATCAAAATTTATTGCCGTTGCAGAAAGGGGCAATTGCATTTGGAGCAGAATGGAGAGGGTCCAGTTGGGTAAATTAGCCAAATGAAAATTACTTGATGGGCTATAAAACAACATAAAAAGGGGGGTGGGGGTGATTCCAGTCATGTGGAAGAATCGCAGCACCCACTTAAATCTGATCCAGTGCATCTAATGCTTTGGACAGACGTGTGCTGAATCCTAGCCTGGCAACACACACACAACCTGATGCCTGAACGTCTGTGTGTGTGTGTGTGTGCATGTGTCTTTCTCATCCCACCCAGAAGAGTGCCAAAAAGTACCGATACATCTTCTGTATCAATCTAGAGAAAAATCGTTGACTTCTGACCACATTAATCCACCCGTGCAAAGTCCCTTTGTGTCTGGGGAATAATTATCATAATAGACATTAGTAATTAGTTTTCAGTGTGATGTCAGCCAGTGTGGCAATGCCAACAAGCCACTGTTCTTGTCAAACACATCCTGGCTGTCTGGGCTCTTTCAGCTCCATCTCCCTGATTAAAATAAACATGGATGCGCCACCCAGAAGCCCATCTGTCCAGCACGCAGCAAAACTGGAATCTCTTTGGAGATCACACAGACACCTAGAGTGGCAACTGGGAGGGCCCCATAGGTCTCTTATACTGGGGCTGCTGGTGGAACTCTTTAGATAGAACCAGGAGGTTCACCCGGGGTCTCAGGTATGAAAATCAAGGATGAAATTGGCGGAGAGAGATGAATCAAACCTCGCCGAGGAAGGGGCTTGAATTCTTAAGACGGGATCGAGAAATCCAAATTGCGTTTTGATTAAAGGGCGCCCACATTTATAAGCTACAGTTCAGTTTATCAGAGGCAAGTGAATAAATGTTGCCTTCCCATTGAAGTGGTACCTATTGATCTACTAGCATTTGCATGCTTTCGAACTGCTAAGATGGGGAGGAGCTGGAGCTGGTGACGGGAGCTCACCCCATCACGCGGCGCTGGGGTCTCGAACCCAGGCTGTCGGCTTTCAAGCAGACAAGGTCAGCGCGCTTAACCGCTGAGCTATTGTGCCCCCCCCCAACACATTCCTGCATTTTCAACTTTTAATATACAACCCTTGGGATAATAAGACCGACTGTTAGCAATATTACGCTTATTATATGGTACCTCTTGACTGTATTCTCTGGAGAGTTGATTGGCCCTGTCTCTGCTGGCATTTCAGAAAGCTTTAAAAATATGGAAGCCTACCTGGGCACGGGGTGGGGAGGTTAATTGAACCCGTGAGGCTGGAGGTGATTTATGGATGCCTTGTGTTGTCCTCGGCTGTCACGCCGTGTTTTCATACTAATTTGTGTTGAGTTTTTAGCCCTGGGTGAGCCACTCAGGGCTGCTCCTGCAAGGTGGCCAGCCGTGTAAATCATTTCAATAAATACATACATAAAATAATCTGAAGTAACGTTTTCCTACCTAAGCTCTAGGTAGTAGCCCTTATCGTCTCTCGCCTTGCCCAACGGTCGCAGTGGCGATCCGTTGCAGTGACAATTGATGACCGCAATCGGGCCCAAAATTTCTGTTGCTAAGTGAGGCAGCTCTTAAAGGAATTTTGCCCCGTTTTACGTCCTTTTTGGCCACAGTTCAGTGAATCGCTGCAGTTGATAAGTTAGTAACCCGGTTGTTAAGTGAATCTGGTTTATCAGAAGGTCGCAAAAGGAGGTCACCTGACCCCGGGACGCAGCAATGGTCGTAAAGTGTGAACCAGTTGCCAAGCATCTGAATTTTGATCACTTGATCATGGGGCTGCTACAAAAGTTGTAAGTGTGAAAAACGGTCGTAAGTCACTTTTTTCAGTGCCGTTCAAACTTCCAAACAGTCACTAAACGAACTGCTGAAAGTCGAGGATTACCTATATTTAGCAAAGTTTGGAAGTTTGCAACTCAAGCGTTCCAGTTCTGCCACGAGTATTTTTTTGTGCCCTGTTTAGGAGAAACTTGTCGGACGCAACTTTTATTTTGTTTTAAACTGAGGCTGCATATTTTATCGGTCTGCCTTTATAATGCCAGTTAGAAGGCTATGGAAAATAACAAGCAAGCAAACATCTGAATTGATTGAGCGAGCTTCTGCCTTTTAAAATGCCGACGAGCGTTACTCATAAACTTTTAACAACCTATTTGTAGCTGGAAGAGCTGTGTTTAAAAGAAAACTTAAGATAGGTAAGGAGCTGGATCTTGCACCTCATAAAACTTATAGATCGGGGATCTGTCCGTTTCAATTTATTCAGCTGCTTATTCTTCCGGGCCGCAAGCTGGTCCTAGTCCAGTTTGCAAATTCAGCATGCTAATAAAAATCCACCTGTTTTAATGCACCTTTATTGCACTGTATGCATTTTAATGTACCTTTCATGCATTATCGATACATTAGGGCACCGGCTTCCTAACACACGCATTTTTATGTCACGTTCCTTAACACGCGTGCACCTTTGCATTGGCTTTTCTCTAACACCGCACACCGGTGTGTAAAATACGGTTTAAGAGAGCACAGATTTGGAAAATACTACACGAAAGTTATGAAAACCCATGCCAAATCATTTTTCCATATTGTTCTTCTCCCTCTTCCTTTATGATTGTTGTTATTTTTGATCTGCGTAAACTGCCCACTGTCTACGAGGATGGAGATTGAAAATTTGCATAAAAGAGAAAAATAAATCACAATATAGAGGTTGGGTTATTCCGAAGCAGTTGCACAGACCCAGCTCCAATTATTTATTAGTCCTGCTTAGGAAGTAAGAGGTTGAGAGAAAAAAAAAATGAATTGCTTGAGGCTACAGCGGACGAGATGAAATCTCTTCCAGATACAGTACAAGGCTGATTTGACAGGGGTAGCAACTTGTAATGAGCAACGTAGCTAACTAGGAACACAAAGCCCATGAGCCTTAGGCTGGAGAGATGTCAGGCTCTCCCCCTCCCCAACCCCCCCCCAACCCATATTAGCATGACCTCAGGAGTCAGCCCAAGACATTCAGGAGCACAACAAAAGGATTCCCCCCCCCTCTCCCTTTTCGGGATGACTGTCTACAACTCAGACCCAAATTTCTAAATGAGACATTTGACCCCAAGGTTTGTTTTTCATCACCTCCAGAAGGTCGAGACCTGTCTTCCAGAATGTGGGATGCAGGGGAATGAATTTAAAGTAAAACAGAAGAAGATTCCGATTCAATACGAGGGGAATTACGCTTTGATAGCGGAAACCAATTCTCCAGAAAAATGGCAAGGTTTCTCCTTGGTTGGATGTGCTGGGACACAGGGTAGGGCAGGAGTAGGCAACCTTGGCTCTTTCATGACTCGTGGACTTCAACTCCCAGAATTCCTGAGCCAGCCACGCTGAGGGGAAAGGGAGAGGTTTCCAAGCTGAGCCATGCTGGCTCAGGAATTCTGGGAGTTGAAGTCCACCAGTCATAAAAGAGCCAAGGTTGCCTACCCCTGGGGTAGGGTAACCATCTGTTGATGCTTTCATTGGGCTACTAAGCCTTGAGCAGTGGTTGAACAGCACAAATGGCCTTTCAAACTCTTAATTCTATGAAATTCATTAGACTTAAGGTGCCATGACGAAATAGCTGAGCTTAAGTAGATTTCATACCATCGTAGAATTGGAAGGGACTTTAGAGGTCTTCTCCTCCAACTACTGCTCAGCACAGGAATTCTCCCAACGTTCTGGAGAAATGGCTGCCCACTCTTCAAATCCTCCAATGATGGAGTACCCATAACCTCAGGAGATAGGCTGCTCCATTGCTCTCCCATCAATCCAATAAGCAATAGAGAGAAGCCAAGGTCAAACATTTTAGGGCACCAAAAGACCTCAAGTACCTTGTTGGTCTCGTTAATCAACCAGCCGAAGCCTCTGACGCCGAAGGCCACCTCGTTGGCGGAGACGTCCAGGCACGTGACAGGCTGGCCGTAGACGGAATGCAGGACTTTAGCTGGCTCTCCTTCCTTCAAGTAGTAGATTGTGTCCTCCGCTGCTACTACAGCACCTGGGCAGGCCGACGTATGGGGCACAAGAGAGAGTAGGCTGACCTGCAAAAGAGTTAAATGGAGTGAAGAGAGTGAGTGTTGAGTCTCAAATATCTTTCCCTGCCAAAGTATTCTTTCCTCCCCAAAACATCGAAAGAGCTATCCTTGCCCCTTCGGTGCCACGAGTTCCAATTCTCTCCATCTGTGATAGGGGAGAGGAGCATCTCCATAGGAGCACATCTACGTAGAAAAGTACTAACAGTGTTACTTCAATGGATTAGATGGCAGATATGGGAAGAAGAAAGCTTGAGGGGGACCTTGATGTTTCCTGAGCTTGGTGGTTTTCTTGCAGACCTTTCATTACCTAACTAGATAACACCATCAGTGGTAGAAGGGAGTGGGGTTTGTGTAGAGGAGGAGGAGGAGGAAGAGAAGGAAGACTAAGAGGACTAGGAGGAGGAAGAGGACTGTGGGGTCCTTGGTGCTTCTGAGCTTGGTAGTTTTCTTGCAGACATTTCATTACCCAACTAGGTAACACCATCCGTGCTGTGAGTGCTAAGATCGTGAGTGCTGTTGATGTTGCCTAGTTTGGCTCATGGCACGTCTGCAAGGAAACCACCAAGCTCAGAGAGCCCCAAGGACCCCTCATTTCAACCCTGAGCTACAAAGATTCTCCTTTTATTAGAAGAAAGCTTTGACAAAAGAGTGCCTGTCAAAGCAAAGAGCTTGATACTCCCGCAGATGACCCCCATCCTGGCATATTCCAGATACAACGGACCAGCCAGCATGCCCACCTCTGTTCAGAATAATCTCTTTTTTTTTTCAGCTGAAGGATTCAACAAGCTGGAGTCACCTAAGAGAACTTCCTTTGATCCTTTTGACCCAATCAAAAAGGAAACAGAAAGATCAAAACACCTCCTCACCAGCAGTCAACACCCAGTTTGAGTAGAGATTAATACCAAGAATAGCACTAAACCCACAATCAAGCAGTGAACAGGACCCCAATTGAGGAACTAGCAAATCAGACAAAAAGCTAACTCTAAAAACAGCCTAATTAAGGAACCACCAAGACTGACTAATATATAAACAGAAAGCCAACCCTACTCCTTTCTAGCACTGATGACGTTACCTAGTTGGGTGGTAAAATGTCTGCAGGAAAGTTACCAATATTCTCTGCCATCGATCTTTTTCTTCTTTTTCATTCTGAGCTGCATCCTTGCTCCCTTATCAACGCAGCGCATTGATCTTCACTAATTGGCCAAAGGTGATGCAATCCAACACATTTAAAGGGCTTTTCCTGGGAATAACAAAGAGACTCACCCACTTCGGAATCTCAAACTCTGCCACGGTTCCCCAGTAGCCTTTGTCGTTGGCGCTTTCCACTTTGACCTGGAACCCGGAGACCGTGGCTACGGTGGCCCCCTCAGTCGGAAGGGCCAAGGCTTGGATCTTCTGGTTGTGTTGATACCTGTGGATTGGCTCGGAACCCACCAGCAGGCTCCACACTTTTACTGACCCTGCGTGCCAAAAGGAGGAAAGGGGTGAAAAATAGAATCTGGGATATAATCCTGTCTCTCCCTATAGGATATAATGCTGGTTACTATTTCCCTGTTAGCTTGTTCATTTGCTAATGTTTGCTAATATTTCAAATCTGAAATGGTATAGGTTCTCCTGCTTGAGCAGGGGGCTGGACTAGAAGACCTCCAAGGTCCCTTCCAGCTCTATTCTATTCTATTGGAAGGGAAGAAACTTTTCAATGTTAAGCAATTTTCAAACTTAAGCAATTCTCTTAAGTTTGATATAAGGCTGCTCTCCATGGTCCTGAAAAGCCAACTGCCAGCTCTACAACAATCACCCACAACATGTAGAGTTTAAGCCAGAATTATTTTTGTTAGGCATAATTGCAGGTAATTATGAGAAAGAGCGTATAGATTTAATTTTACGTTATGTTAACTGCAGCAAGAATTGTATTTGCTCAATATTGGAAAAATGAAGATCGACCAACGGGAGGAAGTGTTAATTAAAAAAATCTTAAGAGTGTGCCGAAATGGAGAGATTGACATTGAAAATGAAAGAGAAAGAAGACTCAGTTTATTTTAGAAAATGGGATACTTTTTATCACTGGCTAGAAAAACAGAGGTAAAGAGAAAGGAACTTAATATGTATTAGTAAACTAGACATTGAAACCCAGACAATAGGTTGCCGATAATATTTTAAGCACTTGTGAGTATAAAAAACTAATATATATGGTTTTCCCAGTTGCAATGTATGGCTGTGAAAGTTGGACCATAAGAAAGGCTGAGTGCCAAAGAATGGAGGCCTTTGAACTCTGGTGCTGGAGAAGACTCCTGCGAGTCCCCTGGACTGCAAGGCGATCCATCCAGTCAGTCCTAGAAGAGATCAACCCCAACTGATCTTTAGAAGGAAGGCCAGATCCTGAAGTTGAAACTCAAGTACTTTGGCCACCTAATGAGAAGGAAGGACTCCCTGGAGAAGAGCCTGATGCTGGAAAAGATGGAGGGCAAGAGAAGAAGGGGACGACAGAGAACGAGGTGGCTGGATAGAGTCCCTGAAGCAGCAAGCGTGAGCTTCAATGGACTCCAGAAGATGGTAGAGGACAGGAAGGCCTGGAGGAACGTTGTCCATGGGGTATATATATATATATATATTAAGAAAAGGATATAATACCAAGCCAGAGCTTTTAAAGTCGTGGTTTATTGAATAAACCCAACCTGCACGATGCAGGTTCATGCATGAAATCCAGGATGGGTTAACCAGTCAGGGCATAGAGTCTTTGCCTGACTGCATACAGAGAGGTCAAGAGTTGTTTGTAAGTTACAAAAAGTCACATCAGGGAGTGTTGGATTGGCACCCCTGCCAGGCCACAAGCGTTTCTTCCCTCTTTTGAAAAGAAAAAGCCAAGCCAAGAAAAAGGATAATGAGATGGCACCCCAGCAAATTTAGAGGATTATTTATGTGCGCTTTGGTAAAGATTATTTCGGTGCCCGCGAAGCACTTCCACATGGCAAAATAGGACCAGCCATCTCGGGAGCTATCTAATGGCGCTGCCTCTAAATATTTATGCTCCTCATCAAGGGAGCGAGCACAATCGGAGCCGGTTTTGTATTTGTGTTTTTTTTTTAAATTTTATTAGGGATGCATATTTAAATTAATCTATTTGCCTAAACAATTAGCCGGCTCGTTTTGTGTGCACGGTGCCAAAATTGCAATTAGACTTCCATCAACATGCAAAAGGCCCGAGTAAAACTGCCCCAGAGGAGTCGTAAGGCCGCTTGGAGTTGGGCTGTTCCAATTTTACTTCGAGATCTAATGGTAATTATTCTTGATTGTTTGAAAGGTAAATAACAACTAAGCTGGTTTTGAAAATAAGAATGCCTATGGAACAGCCGCCGCCCAACAGGGAAGCAAATTAACGTCTCCTTTTTTTTTTATAAAAAGAAAAAAAAAGAAAAGAGCATCTTGAGTCACTTAAAGCCCACTTTTGAAGCCCAAAGCAGTTTGGAAAAATAAAATAAAAAACCTGCACGTTCAACTTTGTTCCACAGCCATTGATTCAACTCTGAATTTTACTTGGAGAGCCCAGTAAAAGCTACCGTGTGCAGGCTTTAAAATTCATCGATTGCTTTTACAACATGCACTAAAACAAGACTGGCTCATTTAATGATATTTAGGAACCCTTTCTTTGTAATTCCCAACTTATGAACTGGGATCGGAATGGCTGTTAAGACAGCCTGATTTTACAACCTTTTCTGCCATGGTTGTTAAGTAAATCACTGTAATTGTTAAGTAAATTAACATTAACAGAGGGATGGAATCAAGATCATGTGAAGTGTTAATACCACTCTACAAGGCCTGGGTAAGGCCACACTTGGAATACGGCATCCAGTTTTGGTCACCACGATGTAAAAAAATGTTGAGACTCTAGAAAGAGAGCAGAGAAGAGCAACAAAGATGATCAGGGGACTGGAGGCTAAAACATATAAGGAACGGTTGCTGGAATTGGGTATGTCTAGTTTTAATGAAGAGAAGGACGAGGGGTGACATGAGAGCAGTCTTCCAATATCTCAGGGGCTGCCCCAAAGAAGAGGGAGTCAAGCTCTTCTCCAAAGCCCCTGAAGGCAGGACAAGAAGCAACGGATGGAAACTCATCAAGGAGAGAAGCAACCTAGAACTAAGGAGAAACTTCCTGACAGTTGGAACAATTAACCAGTGGAACAACCTGCCTCCAGAAGTTGTGGGTGCTCCGATAGTGGAGGTTTTCCAGAAGAGATTGGACAACCACTTGTCTGCAATGGTATATAAGGTCTCCTGCTTGAACAGGAGGTTGGACTAGAAGACCTCCAAGGTCCCTTCCAACTCTATTATTCTGTTAAACCACACAGTCATTAAGCGAATGTGGTTTACCCTGATTTTTTTGCCTGCCAGCTGGGAAGATTACAAATGGTGATCGCATGATCTTGGAAGACTGCAACCCTCAGAAATACACACTGATTGCCAAAGGCTCACATTTTCATCATGTGATCACAGGGATGCTGTGACGATTGTTAAGTGCGAGTGTGACTGCTCGTAAGTCACTTTTTTTCCCCCACTTCAAACAGTTGCTAAATAAATGGTTGTGAGTTGAGAACCGCCTGTATGGCGAGACTAGTGTTCTACATGTCCTGGAACTGTCAACTCCAATGACAGATAACTAAGCAATCCCCAAATATCTGACACGGTTCCTATCTGTTAGCCAACGTGGCTGTTATGAATTGGCGTTTCATTACCCAACTAGGTGACACCATCAGAGCTGAGCATAACATCATGAGCGCTGATGTTGTTGCCTAGTCAGCTAATGAAATGTCTGCAAGAAAACAACCAAGCTCAGAGAGCACCATGGACTCATTGTTCTCCTCCTCCTCTCCACAAACCCCACTCTCCTCTAGCACTGATGATGTTACCTAGTTGGGTCGTGAAATGTCTGCAAGGAAACCACCAACCTCAGAGAGCACCAAGGACCCACAATTCTCCTCCTCCTCCTCCTCTGCAAACCCCACTCCCTTCTAGCACTGATGATGTTACCTAGTTGGGTAATGAAACGTCTGCAAGAAAACAACCAAGCTCAGAGAGCACCAAGGACTCATTGTTGTCCTCCTTCTCCTCCTCCTCTCCACAAACCCCCCTCTCCTCTAGCACTGATGATGTTATCTAGTTGAGTAATGAAACAGCCAATCTCAGAGGGCACCAAGTTCTCCTCCTCCTCCTCCTCTCCACACATCTGACTCTCCTCTAGCACTGATGGTGTTACCTAGTTGGGTAACGAAACGTCTGCAAGAAAACCAACCAAACTCAGAGAGCACCAAGGCCCCTGTGGCTCTACTTCATTTCATGCCAATATTTAGAGGGTCCTGCCTTTGTTCACCCAAATGCAGCAATGAGGGGAAGGGGGGGGCTATTCTGTTCAGCCTTCTCTCCCGTGGCACAGAAACTTTCCACGGTGCAAAGCAGAATGGGCGAGGGTGGGAGGATTAAAGCAGTCTACACATGCACACACACACACCCCACACACACACACACATCACCAAGGCCGTGGCTGCGTGCCAGACCCAGGCAAGCATGGAGCAGATGGAGCCCTGGCACGGCCCCGACGGCTCCTGCATTAGCAGCATCTGCTCATTAACCAGAAACTCTTCTCTCGCTTTCTCTAATGCTCCAGGAAAAGCATTTTGATTTGATTCATTTCGGGTAAGGCAACGTGGAAGGCAATTAGTGGTAGGGAAAAAAAAATAAAAAAATAAAAAAGCAAGCTGGATGCCTGCCAGTGCTGACAATGGGAAACAAGGCAGAAGATATACAGAAAGCTGGTCAGTTGGAATTCAAAACATCACAATTGTGGATTCGGCTGCCAAGGCCTCCCAGGTGTAGATTGACGGGCGGGCAGGGGAGGAAGAGGCCGCGCAGACCGCAAGACTGTTCCACCCATCCTTCGGTTCCTTTGCGGCTGATCTTCCAGGATCGGGGCCATCAAGTCGTGGAGGCCAGCTGGAGGTTTATCTGAGGCTGCCAGGTCACCAGATAAAGCTCCAGGTGGCCTCCCCGACTCTCTAGAAGAATGCAAATGACCAGCTGTCTGCAAGGAGTATAAATCCTTCCCTTCTCCACCATCCAGTCCGAGCGGAAGAAGCTTCTGGGATGAGGAGCGAAACGAAACTCAAGGACGTCCCGTTGCCTCCTGACAAAAACACTTTTGGGATAACTATGACCTGGATGGCTGAGAATCTCCATAGACATTTAGCTATGTACTTGGGGGTGAACACCCTTCGAATGGCGCGGGACTATGAACGGAGTTCCAGAAAACATTGTGGACTACAGGAACCATTTTTCCGCTTCAGTTTGAGACTAACACAGACTCATCCCCAACCTCCTGCGCCTGCCTTCAGCAGGGAAGGGACCCAGGACAGAAAAAATCCTACAGCCATGAAGGCTCCCCACCCATTTGCACCACTCAGGTGACCCTAAAGACACAGGTAAGCCTCCAGGTGGCCTCCACGGCTCTCTAAAAGGATGCAAATGACCAGCGGTCTACAAGGAGTATAAATCCTTCCACTCCCCACCGTTCAGTCAGAGCAGAAGAAGCTTCTGGGATGAGAAGTGAAACTTCTTCAAAGGAAAAACAAGAAAGTCCAGTGGCCTCTTGGGATAACTATGACCTGGAGGACTAAGAATCTCCATAGATGTTTTGACCGAAATCTCCTTACTCATCGCACACGCGAGACGGCACGCTGACAGCTGACCGCAACCCTGCCATTCCCTAAGAAGCAAAAGTTTGCACCCAAAAGACAGAAAAGACCATGGAATCCAGAGCTCCAGAATTAAGGCGCAAGGCAATCGTGGGCGTTGAGTATTGACAATTCCTCGACAACAGAGCTTGCCCGGGGATAGGCGGATTTAAATCATCACCGGGAGGGGGGGGGAGATCCACGGCACTCTTTGCTCAGCCAGTCAGCTGTGAGGAGAAGGCAGGCGTAAAAAATGCCCACGGGTTCCTCTTGGAGACCGGTTGCCAAGGGCATCGCGGCTTGCGCCCTGCTGAATGGGGAGAAAATGGGTGTTGTGTCAACGCATTCGCTAAGAGCCCTTTTCAACGGCGGGGACTGGCGGCACTGCCTCCTCGTGCTAACAGATGGCTTCTGTGTTCACCAGGCACACGCTACAAAAGCAACACACACACACACACACACCCCAGGAAGAAAACAGGCATATAGACACACACAGACATAGACACATGGGGGGGAGAGAGGGCATATAGCAGCGAAAAAAGGATAATTGCTTTGAAAAATAGCGAGAATTATGTACGTGGGCTTCTCCGGGTGTACGTTTGTTGAGATCTCTTCCTGCGATTCTCACAGATTTGAGGTGGACAATTTTTGTGGGTAAAATGTTTCAGGAGGGTGGAAAGTGGGAGGCATGTCTGATTTTCAGAAGGGGATCAGGTGATGCCCCCCCGGGGACACTGCAACCGTCGTAAATACGAGTCGGTTGCCAAGCCTCTGAATGTTGATCACGCGACCCCCGGGAGGCTGCAACGGTCGTAAGTGTGAAAAACGGTCGTAAAGGCACTTTTCCCCCCGTGCTGTTGTAACTTTGAACAGCCACTGAACAAACTGTTGTAAGGATGTCCTGTAGTGTCTGTGTGTGTTGCACCTCAAAAATGGCAGGAAGCTCATTTTCACCAAACGGAGAGGATGAAGGTCTGAGGACGTTCGCCAGGCTGAGATTGCTAAGAGGGATGGAAATGGAAATTCATTCGCTGAGTGTAGGAAGGACGGGGCATTAGCCTGTTATACGAAGGTCTTATTTGGTCTGCTCTCGCTTTTTATTGGTTTTTAATTGGGTGCTGCTAAGAGTCGGTTTCGAGTTGAAGCAGCCTTATAAATTGAAGCCATAAATAAATAAAATTACTTAATTTAGGTTTCGTCGGTCTGGGATGGCAAATCAAGAAGGAAAATTACATTGCGTTAAATTAAATAAATGAGACTCAACGCATCCCAGTTATGAGATGTGCGCCATCCACTTATCTGCGATAGGTGCAAGATTACAACATCTGGAGCACCTCCCTTCCTTTCAGTGGAAGCAGCAGAGGCACTGAAAAAAATTGCAAGCTTTGAACGGTCCTTTTTTTTTCTTCCTTATTGCAAGCATGCAGTTTCTTAACAGGTATGTTTTGACATCAGATCAGTTGACAGTAGATTCAGGATAGCCCGTTTAGGCTTTGAATGGGGTATTGGGGGATTAGAACATTCCATTTGGCATATCAGATCGGAATTCATATTCCTCTAGATCAGTGCGTCTCACCCTTGACACCTTTTGAGAGGTGTGGGCTTCCAACTCCCAGAATTCCCCAGCCATGGAAAGAGAATGGGAAGAGGGGAAGAGAAAGGAAAGGAATGGAAAGGGAAGGAAATAGAGAAGGAAAGGAAAGGAATAGAATGGAAAGGGAAGGAAAGGAAAGGAAAGGAAAAGAAAAAAAGGGAAGGGAAGGAAATAGAGAAAGGAAAGGAAAAGAAAGGGAAGGGAAGGGAAGGAAATAGAGAAGGAAAAGAAAGGGAAGGGAAGGAAATAGAGAAAGGAAATAGAGAAGGAAAGGAAAAGAAAATGAAGGGAAGGAAAGGAAATAGAGAAAGGAAATTGAGAAGGAAAGGAAAGGAATAGAATGGGAAGGGAAGGGAAGGAAATAGAGAAGGAAAGGAAAGGAAAAGAAAGGGAAGGAAACAAAGAAGGAAAGGAAACAGAGAAGGAAAGGAAAGGAAAAGAAAGGGAAGGGAAGGAAATAGAGAAAGGAAATAGAGAAGGAAAGGAAAGGAATAGAATGGGAAGGAAAGGAAATAGAGAAGGAATGGAAAGGGAAAGGAAGGGAAGGAAATAGAGAAAGGAAATAGAGAAGGAAAGGAAAGGAAAAAGACATGGTTGTGAAATATGACATTTGGGGGTAGCATTTTACTGAACGTTCTCTGTCTAACAAACTGAAAATGAGAATCACTTGGGGGGGGGAGGGCCTTCTTTTAGCTATTGTATTTTGTATTTTTATATTTCTGTAGTATTTACATCATTTTGTCTTTTTAATATTGTAAGCTGCCCAGTTACCCTGGGATAAGGTGGGTGGCCAACAAATTTAATAATAATACATTTACGTCTCTAGTGCAATAATCTGGCTTTGCTCTTTCTCTTATTGGCCCTCCTTCCCTACATCTCTAAGAAAAGAAAGAAAGAAAGAAAAAAAAACCCACCAGACAGGCCAAAACAAGTTGTTTGCTCATGACAAGCTTGGCCGGGCTGAGGCCTGGCACCCGTGCCTCCAAGCAGCAGCTCCAGGAGGAATCAAAGCCCTCGTTTGAATGGGCACCGCCATCCAAGGCCTCCTAATGCAACGGAGGTTATCGGCCAACTTTCCCACATAAAAGCGAGCGTGAGCGCGCACACGTGCGTTTGTGTGTACAGGAGAGGGTTAGAATTGCTCCCAGGAAGAAAGGAAGGGAAAAAAAAGAAAGGAGAGGGGAGGTTGAAAAAAAGAAAAAGAAAAAAGCAAAAAAAGCTGGGCACAGCTGCTTCATTTCCAGAAAGCTTTTAAAAGACAACATTAGGACCCGGCTTGCTGTTAACTTACCGTCCTCGTACGCCGACACAGCCAGGGAACTGTTTATTCTCACAAAAGAGGCATGTGGCCGGGGGCCAGGCTCCCCAGAGCCGTGTTCCGGTTCCAGGACGGGGGCCGCGTAGTCCCAGGTGCGCGTGTCCCACAGCTTCACATCGCCCGACGTGTATCTGGAACGGAAAGCGGAGCATGGGATCCAAAAGCTGCAGGAGTCAAGGCCTCTTTTGAGTTCTGGGTTTGGTTGGGATCCAAAGCTCCTTCCCAAGAAGACAGGGGGGGGGGCTTATCTGCAAAGGAGGGCGGGCGTCCCCTTCTGTGGCTCCTGCCAGGAAATTCAGATGGGAACCTTCAGGACAGCGGACCCCGACAACCACAATTCAGCCCAAAATTTATGGGGCGGTTGTTAAGTTTTGCCCCGTTTTTACGACCTTTCTTGCCACAGTGGTTAAGGAGAATGGAAAACTCTTTTGTGTTCTATCCCTAACTGAACATTCCTTCTCAAAAGCGAAATCTGCAATGAGCGCAGAGCATTAAAAGTAACACCCGAAGCACAGATGCTCGGCTTCGTGTTTTCAATTTTAAGAAGCAAACTCGTTCTCTAAGGACTGGGATTCCTGTGGCCAACATGACACCACCTGGACAGCTTCAGTAGAGCAGGAGAAGCCTAAGGAAGCAACGGCCCTACACATAGAAAGTTCGCATTATGCTACTTTTCCCCCACAACTTTTAAAATGGGCAGACATCCCTCCCCGGAACCCGGCAACCCATAACTCAACTCAGCCTATTTAAAGAACAATTTGAGATGAAATCAACAACTTCTTTGTAGGCTACAAGAAGACAACAAGAGGTTACGAACGGTGCTGGGATGAATCTGACCTCCATGTAAAAAGTTGATTTGTACCTCGCAGCTAATTTATGGAAGAACTGGGCCAAAAGAGTTGTTGAAAAGGGTTGTCGTTGTGGGGCAAATATCAGGAAGACGGTGTGTTGGGTATGTTTGCTGCCCTGAGTTGTTTGTAAAAATAGTAGAAGGAAGGAAGGAAGGAAGGAAGGAAGGAAGGAAGGAAGGAAGGAAGGAAATAAAATTAGCTTTGTTTTCAACCTCTGATGTGCTGGGAACAGCAATGAAATGGTCTCCCAGTTTGGTCTAGCAAGGGAAACTAAATCCTTAGCAACAGGCGGCTTGTTTAGCTATTCAAACTTTAGTTCCACTAAACTAGTTGAACTGAAACAAGAAAAGCTGGGATAGATCTAACTTATGAAGATACGGTAAAACCGCTGACTTCCCGATAGCATCCACGTTGGTTTCTTCTTTTGACCAGAAAGAGGAGGAGGAACGGAGAAGACGACAAAAGAAGTATTGTGTAAGAGGCGGGAAGGTGCTGGATGTTAGCCCAACTAAGTAGGGCTGAAGAGGCTGGCAACTTCCTCGGATGTTACCCCCTCCGACCAAAAAGACAACAATATAAAAAGAAAAAGGGACAAAGCTGCAAAAAAAAGCACGAGTGGCAACGCCAAAATCAATCTCTCCAGAGCCCCAGATGTCCTTATCACTGCCTAATGACAATCCTAACTCTGCCAATTAAAGACTCGGCTATCGCTGTTGCATTGTTCGTAAGCTTTTGGCCCCCAACGTTGATGGCTGTCTAATTAGCGCGGGTGCAAAGTACAACTTTAAATTACGCACGCGAGCTGACAAATGCACGGGAAAATAAGGGATCAATACGAGGGCTCAACTTAGAGCACCTGCGCTGGCGTGCGACGGCCATTCGCAAACCTGCTTTCCGTTGGAAGGGAGAGAGAGAGAGAGAGAAGCTAGGTTAGTTAGACCAACAAGCTATTGGGAGGTTTGGCTAGCCATGCCACGGAGAGGAATCGGGGCCCTCGAAGTTAGAACGTTCTCTCGGCCACCTGCGATTCCCACCTTTGCGCCCGAGTAGAAGCCGAGAGAAAGAAGCTGGAAAAAAGAGGGAGGCACGAAATGTTAGAAATAAGAGGATGACCGTTATTGACAGGCAAAATTGGGGGGGGGGGAATCAAATCAAAATAAAATTGGCAGCCGAATTCCGGGAGTTTTAAGCCGCAGCTCCTGCAGATGGTGCCCCGATGTTCATTTCTCTTCGCAGTCCTGTAAACGTGAAGCATTGCCGCTTCTTCGGAAACTCAATGGCCTTGATGTCTTAAATGGTGGGCTTGAAAATGAAGGGAGGTGGGTTGCTAAAAGCCCCCTTTAACAAAATCCATTGGATCAACCCAGCCCTCAAGGACAGGTCAACCTCTAGCCCAGCCCTACCCTGGTTCACCTGTGCGGTTCCTTCGCAGAGGACCGTTCGTCAAAGGCAACCAATTTCTATCTCCCCCACCGCACTTTGAAATCTGACCTCTCCTCCCCTTAGTGATGGTGATGTCATCTATATTTGCTGCTAATGAAGAGGAGGCCTGCAAATGAGAAGGGCTGAGGGGAGAGATAAATGAACAGAAATACACTGAAAAGAATACATTTTTCTTCTCTCTCTCTCTCTCTCTCTCTCTCTCTTTTCCAGGAAAATGCGTGAAGAGCCACAATCAGAAACGAAGACGGAGAACATGAAACGATGCGCAGCGATGTAAGTCAAAGATGGCTTAGAATAGGAGGGCTGGAAGGGACCTTGGAGGTCTTCTAGTCCAAGGTTTTTCAACCTTTTCACCCCTTGTACCACTTTTAGGATATGGCAACATCCGAGTACCACCAGGCGCCTAGCAAGGTGTCAAAAACTTGATGACCCATAAATAAGAAAAGAAAAAAAGTGATGAAGTACAGGTAGTCCTCGACTTACAACAGTTTGCTTAGTGACTGTTCGAAGTTACAATGGCCCTGAAAAAAGTGCCCCCCAAGCCACAGCCGAGCAAGATACCTGCCTGCCCGCCCGGCGGCGCTCTTCCTCCTATCCGAGGTTTCCATTGTTGTAAGCATTTCTGTTGAGGATTGGCAGCGGGGGTGGGGTGGGGGGTGTTTGGTTTTTATTCCCCCCCATCTGTGGGTGGTTGCAGCAGGTTTTGGTCCCTTCACATGACCCTGGGACACTGTGACCATCATAAATATGAATCGGTTGCCAAGCATCTGAATGTAAATCACAAGACCCTGGAGATGCTGCAACATTCCAGCTTCTTCTGGGCTCAGAAGTGCCAGGATCAGCGCCGAGCTCCAGTTGGAGCCTGGCGCTGATTCTGGCGCTTCCGCTGAGCCCTGACAACCCTGCAGCTCCAGCCATCTCTCGCTCAGGCTTGTGCGGTGCTGCCACCGGTTCAGCTCATTCCCCTCCCCTGCTACCACTTTTCTAGGATGGTGGCGTACCACCTGCCAGGTGCCAATGTACCACAGGTGGTACCCGTACCACTGGTTGAAAAGCCTTGATATATATCACCTGGAGCTCCTGAACAAAACATAGGACACAACCCTAAATATACATGCATACCTTAGACAGGTACATGTCCGGATGTGCAGAGTCACCGGTCCCCAAAACAGCTCTGATAAGGCCACCAGAAGCTGCTACTAAATTTTAATTTTTAATATAAGAAAATACATTCACGGGGAATAATCGCATCAACCATATTGAATGCATTTAATTTAAGTGTCCATTTTCTCCCCAGCTTTTGAAAAAGTGGCCCCCAGCAAGGCCTTAGCTGAAGCGGCACTAAATGTAGAAATCCACCTCAATAGTAATTATTTAAATTGTAGTCCGAAGAGAACGGGGAGCGAAATGTATTTTACCCGATGCCTTTTAGACCTTCCTCTCACGGCCATCAAAGGCCACGTTCTAAACACCGCAGAGCATTTAAACCAGGAGCAAAACAGCTGAGGCTCAGCCCCACTCAATGGACCGTTTTAGATTTGCATGGACTTCCTCCAAATTAATATGCAAAGAGGTCCGGAATAGCTGGGCCCAAGGTGGAAATTACCATCAGGCCAAAAAAAAACAAAAAACAGCTGGAGAACTTTCTTTCATCTTGCTGAGAGGGCAACCTCCCCTCTCCAATTTGTCTGTCTCCATTCACCGAGGGGAGGGATGGAGGGAGAACGGTCTGGGGTCTGAATGAAGGATGGAGGGAAGGAGAACAGCACGAGAGATGGAGGGAGAACAGTCTGAGTCTGAACGAGGGACGGAGGACAGTCCGGTTCTGAATGAGGGATGGAAGGAGGGAGAACAGTACGAGGGATGGAAGGAGAACAGTCTTGGCTTGAACAAGGGATGGAGGGAGAATATTTGGGTCTGAATGAGGGATGGAGAGCGAACGGTCTGGGTTTGAACGAGAAGGGAGAACAGTCTAGGTCTGAACCAGGGACAGAGGGCCTGGGTCTGAATGAAGGATGGATGGATGGAGAGGACAGTATGAGGGATGGAGGGAGAACAGTCTTGGCCTGAACAAGGGATGGAGGGAGAAGTCTGGATCTGAATGAAGGATGGAGGGAGGGAGAACAGTACAAGGGAGGGAGGGAGGGAGAATGTTTGGGTCTGAAGGAGGGATGGAGAGCGAATGGTCTGGTTTTGAACGAGAAGGGAGAACAGTCTTGGTCTGAACCAGGGACAGAGGGCAAATAGTCTGGGTCTGAATGAATGAATGAATGAAGGATGGATGGATGGAGGACAGTACGAGGGATGGAGGGAGAACAGTCTTGGCCTGAACCAGGGATGGAGGGAGAATTCTGGATCTGAATGAAGGATGGAGGGAGAAGTGCTTTCTAAACAGCCTCCTCGCTTCTTCTCCGACACTGGAGACCTCAATCTGGCGAGCGGATGTTTATCATGAACACTCTGCCCAGCAGTAACGAGGCTTGTTTCGAGTGTCAGACCTTGGATTGTTTTCATTGGAGACGGGCGATGTTTGCGGTTACCTCACTCCCCAATCAATGCGGCACACACCCCAGCCTCCTACGGCACCACCTCAGAGTGGCTTAAAGCAACAGGGTCCCTGCTCACGTGGGCCTCTGTTTCAAAACAATACAAGGCCACCTTCTGCCTCCCTGGTCCGCCCCCCCCTCCCCAAACTATAGAAAACGCTGTAAAAAGGGAGGCTTTTCAAGGACACTTTCCAATCACAAGCAATTAGCGTGTGCGGCAGGGTTGAACGGGGAGGGGGGGAGGGAGGGGGGAGAAAAAAAATGTATCTGCAGATTGAAATTTGAGTTGCTCTTTCATCCTTCCACTTTAGAGCTTAAATTCTCTCTCCTGCCTTTAAGCAACGGAGTTTTAGACGACTGGAAAGAATAGCGGCTTTGATCTGTTTCACTTGAGTTTCTCCACCCACCCACCAACCCCCCAGCTATGTCTAGCCACTTGATGAAAATATGTCATCCTTGTTCTTTTTTTTTCTTCTCTCCCCCTCTGTCTCCAATTCTGCTGCAAAAAAAATGAATGCACGAGGCAGCCGACAGGTAATGATCAGGTATGCGTTCAACGATCTTCTTTTTTTGCAAGATAACGCCGTGCACAAAATCAGACACATAACTTCGTAGCAAGGGACCTACGAAAAGTGAAGTCCTGCCTGCCACTTTTTAAAAAAAAAAAAAGTTGTGGTGGCTTATTCGCTAAACCACAGTTGGTTGCCACACAAAAAGAAGGTAAGTCAGACTGGCTATCGTGCATGGGTTCAGACCCCACACCAAACCGCTGAAAACTGTATGAAGGCTTAAGAACACACTTGCATTACTCCAAGCACTGATTAGCAGTTGACTGGGGTTGTGCGGAGAATGAAGACAGAAATAGACCAATGACAGGATGGTTTAATGTGGTGCGTAGATCCAGGCTTGTCAGATGCTGTATTTTTTTCCTATCCTGCTCTATGGAGTAGAGAGTTGGTCAGACAGAAGGCCACCTGAAGAGACTAGAAGCATTTGAAATGTGGATTTACAGGCGGCTGTTACGCCTGAGCTGGGTTGACAAGATCAGAAACGAGGAGGGGATAAGCCGCCTGGGAAAGCCAAGGGAAGTCATCAAAACAATAAAAAAATGAAAATTAGAATATTTCGGACATGTGATGCGACACCCAGAAAAATATGGCATGCTCCATTTAATCCTCCAGGGAAAGATGGAAGGCAAACGAGGTCCAGGCAGAAGAAGAACATCGTGGCTTCAAAATCTCAGGGACTGGTTTGGACAAAATTCAGCAGCCCTTTTTCGTCCGGCTGCTGATAAAAACAGGATCGCCAACATGATCACCAACGTCCGATAACGGATATGGCACAAGAAGAAGAAGATCCAGTTTAAGACTAGCTTCAATTCTTTTCAGCCTGAGATTTTGAACAGCTGTTGCCTAATCAGAATGGATAACCGGGGTTAGTTAGACCACTAACCTACATGGCAGCTTCCTCCGATCCAAGGCAACCGAAATGTTATTTTAATTGATTAATGGGGTTCGTGTTATCTACTATTCTCCCGAGGTCCACTGACTCAAATCTTCATTAGGGCAACTTCAAAATACAAATGATATCATTTGTGTTATGACATCTGGGTAATGACATCATTACATTAAGGAGGCCTTTTGCATAATGGCAACGTTACACAGAGAACACGCAACGGAATTTCCTCCATCGTGGGCAAATAACTGCTCAGCCGAAGTCAGGAAAAACCAAGATTGGGTTGTATTTCCTCTTTAAAAAAAAAAGAGAGAGAACTCCTGGTATGGACTGGTTTTTTTTCAGCAAAGAAAAGAATGGTACAATATGTTCACTCTAGATGGCTTTGGTGTGTATCAAGAAAGCAAGGCAGTTAACACTTGTAATACCCACGAGATCCTAGACTCTCATTACGGAATTCTAAAATTAGCCCTGTTGATTCTCGATGCTCAACCACACTGGAGGTGTCACGCCATCTCTCGCTGCTAAAATAATCTCTTATTAGGTCATAAAAAGAGCTTTGTGGGATCAGACCGGCTTAAGCCCACACAAGGACAACTGGGAGGGAGAAGGCCACAACCGAGAATGGGCCACAAAGAACTTAACAATTTCTACCGCTGGAAACAAAATACAGGGTTTTCGATTACAAAAGCCGCTGCGGGTTTTATCGTCCAGCCAATGGTCTGATGCCCTTGAAACCGCCAAATGTCAGGATGCCCACTGCATCCTGGCTTAGCAAATTCCCTAGGGTAGAATATAAACAGGTGATATTTCACCTATTGTCAAATCTGCAACCTGTTCAGCTGTTATTTTCTCCCAACGCCCCAGAATTTTATTTATGCCTTCTGCATGCAGGTAGTTCTTGACTTGACAATTCATTTGTGACCGCTCCAAGTTACACTGAAAAAAAGGACATAGGACCCTTTTTCACACTTACAACCGTTGCACTGTGGTCATGTGATCAGAGTCCAGATGCTTGGCAACTGACTCACATTGCAGGGGTGGCGCAGTGGTTAGAAGGCAGCGTTGCAGGCTGACTCTGTCCACCGCCAGCAGTTCAATCCTGACCGGTTCAAGGTTGACTCAGCCTTCCGTCCTTCCAAGGTCAGTGAGGACCCAGATAGTTGGGGGCAAGAGGCTGACTCTGGAAACTGCTTAGAGAGGGCTGTAAAGCACTGTGAAGTGGTATATAAGTCTAAAGCTATTGCTCTTCCTTCCTTCCTCCCTCCCTCCCTCCCACTGGTTAGAATGCAGTGTTGCAAGCTAATTCTGCCCACCGCCAGCAGTTCGATCCTGACCGGCTCAAGGTTGACTCAGCCTTCCATCCTTCTAAGGTCAATAAAATGACCACCATTGACCTGGATGACTGAGAATTTCCATAGACATCTTAGAATCATAGAATCACAGGCTTGGAAGGGATTTTGGAGGTCTTCTAGTCCAACACCCCTGCCCAAGGCAGGAGACCTTATTCTATCCTGGGAAAATGGCTGTCCAATCTTTTCTTGAAAGCCTTCAGGGATGGAACACTCACAACTCTGGGAAGGAAACTGTTCCACCGGTCAATTATTCTCACCATCAGGAAATTTCTGCTTTCGCAAACGAAGGCAACTCGAAGCGTCTCGGGATGACCTTGCAGGATCCAATCTGGGCTGGTCACTGGGACAAGAGTTGTCCAGATTTCTGCTGGACTCCATCCTCAGAGAACATCTCTCTCTCTCACCAGATGGACTCCTGCATGAGTCCGAAAGCTCGGAAGACAAAACCACCGGTCCTGGTGACCGATCCAGATTGGATCCTGCAAATGTCTCTTTTCTTTTAGGCTGGATCTCTCTTTAACTAGCTTGCACTTTTTGCTTCTTGTCCTGCCCTCAGGTGCTTTGGGGGTAGTTGGGCTGAAAATTGCCTTCAAAGGGGGGGGAGGAATATGTACAGGCAGTCCTCTAGTTACGACCACAACAGAGCCCCAAATTTATGTTGCTAAGTGAAACAAATGCGAAGTGGAGCTTGCCCCATCTTACGACGTCTCTTGCCACAGCTGTTAAGTGGTTCACTGCAGCTGTTAAGGAAGTAACCTAACTGTTAAAGGAATCTGGCTTTCCGGTTGATTTTGCCCGATCACGTGATCCCCGGGACACTGCAACCGTCATAAACATGAACCGGAATTTTGATCACGCGACCGTGCGGTCGTAAGTGTGAAAAACAGTCGTTAAGCCACTTTTTGCAGGGCTGTTAAAACTTTGAATGGTCACTACCTGGAGGAGTACCTGTACCTTGACGACATCTTGGTCAACCTCAACTGAGCTTTTCACAAGGCGTAATCCATTTCCCACATTTTATCCTGAAATAAACAAACAGGCTACTTTCTGCATTTATTTCAAGTAGCCTCCTTCCCTGGTGTCACTCACAGAATCTGGTGCTGGCAGGGGTTTTGAAAAAGAAGGGGGGGGGGTGAAAACACACACATACACACACACCCAAGACAATTGACTCTAATTCTACTCCACAAAAACGCATCATTAAAATGAAGTGTTGCTCTTAAACGCCATACATTGATTTATGAGAGGCCCGAGCCAATTTCACAGCTCCGATGACATCACCCCCTTCTTCTCTTCGCTGCCTGGTGTTGTGGCTTCGGGACTGTGAAGCTGCGAAAGAGGAGGGAGGCTTCTCCCCCACCACCCACCACCACCACCTTTAAACACACCGCGTGTACAGCCCCCATCAGGGCTAGAGTAAGGAGATTAGCGATGATCCTGGGGGGATCCATTCTTGAAATTCCCTACTGTTTTTAGCACAGAAACGAGGCTAATGAGGTTCATGACATGGAGAGGCCGAAAAAAACGAAATAACCCTTTTAAACCCTGCATTGCAGATAAAGCCGGGGTGGTGATAAATAGAAATGATGGCCCATTACAGGAGTGCTGAATTCTCTCAATGACTCAGAAAACACAGCACAAGGGAGATATTTAGAACCACGAGGCCAGCCCTTGTTTCGGGCATTAAAAATCGTTTTGCCGTTAATGACTTTCACAGCAGAACCATTTTCTACTTAAAAGCCAGGGCAATAAGTTTGTCTCTGCTTAATAATATATATATATATATATTTTAATGGCCGGGGATAAAACAGCCAGAATTACATGACTCCCGTCCAGCAGTATGCGATGGAGCCACGGCAGGAAATTTCACGTGCCAGCGAATTAAGTTCAGAATTATTATTATTATAATAATTATTTGGCAGGCTGCTTCCAATTTGCAAATAGGTGCCAAAGGGGGGGGGGAGGAAATGCCAAATTCCAAAAGCATGAATAGCATACAATGAACCTTACTATCTAGCTCAGTGTTTCTCACCCTTGGCAACCCAAAAGACATTTAGACTTCAACTCCCAGACGGAATTCTGGGAGTTGAAGTCCACCCATCTTCCAAGTTGCCAAGGTTGAGAAAGATGAAGCTAGCGATCTATCAGGAGCTCAATCAAATGTTACCCGTCGGTGTCCATGAGTTGTAAGATTCCCTATGTTTTTTTTAAAAAAACTGTCATTATAGTGTAAGCCACTGTTAACTCTTGGTTTAAATGCTAAGTAATTCCTTACAGGCAGGAGAAGAATTCTAGCTGTACTCTGAGTTCTCAGTCCCAGACTCACCCGGCAATGACTACTCCGTTGCATGAGTGCACATCACACAGAATGTTCCCGACTTCGTGCTGCAACTGGCTCATAGCCCCGACACGGTTCTGCAGAGCAAGACAAGGAAAAGCCATGGGTTTGGTCTAGTAGTCCCTCAAAAATCTCCCCCCCCCCGTTCTAAGAACTGTGGCTTTTGATATCCAAGTGGTACTCCAGCATCTCGACTCTTGACTCAGCCTTCCATCTTTCCCAGTTTGGTAAAATGAGGATCCAGATTGTTGGAAGGAAGAGGCTGACTCTGTAAACTGCTTAGAGAGGGCTATAAAACACCGTGAAGCAGTATATAAGTGCTACTGCTATTCTCTTCTATTCTAAATTCTATTCTCTATTCTCTTGCCGTGGTGGCCCAGTGGTCAGAATGCAGTATTGCAGGCTAACTCTGCCGACTGCCAGCAGTTCGATCCTGACTGCCTCAAGGCTGACTCAGCCTTCCCTCCTTCCGAGGTCGGTAAAATGAGGACCCAGATTGTTGGGGGCAAATAGGCTGACTCTGTAAACCCGCTTAGAGAGGGCTGTAAAACACTGTGAAGCGGTATATAAATCTAAGTGCTACTGCTAGCGCTATCGAGCCTAGAATCACAGGCCTGGAAAGGATCTCGGAGATCTCTTGTCCAATTCCCTGCTCAAAGCAGGAGAAAAACAATCCCGGTCAAACGGCTGTCCAATCTATTTTTGAAAATTTCCACTGATGGAGCACCCACAAGTCCGGGGAGCAAGCTGTTCCACGGATTGTTCTCACCGTCGGGAAATGTCTCCTTATTTCTAGGTTGGACACGCTCTCTTGAACAAGCTTATAGTAGTATGTCTCAAGTGAGAAGTTCTTTTCCCTTACTTTCCAGTTGGTTCGCAAAGTCTTCTCCTTTTCCCGACATTCTCGGAGGGTCTGTTTCCAACAGGGGAAGTCTGAGACTTGACTGTCAGACAGATAACCTTCCTGTTGACAAATCCGGAACCACAGGACCTGGTCTTCAGCCAGGATCTTCCACGTTCGGCTCACCTAAAAGTAGGACAAATGCTCATTGTTGAGAATTCTCTCTGAAACCAGAGGGGGGGGGGAGAAACACGATGCTCTCAGTGACCCTGGTGTGCATCACCCCAAAACAAGACCTGTGTTAATATTAAAATAGGATTTAAAAAAATTCTTCAATGTATGTTACCTAGTTGGGTAATGAAATGTCTCCCAGAAAACAATCAAGCACAGAGAGCACTACGGACCCCCTCATTTCAACCCTGAGCTACAAATATTTTCCTTTATTGGTAAAACATAAATGGCCTGGCCATTTATGAATCTAGGAATCTAAATCACAGATCTAAATGACAGATAAAAGCACCTGAGGGCAGGACAAGAAGCAACGGATGGAAACTAATCAAGGAGAGAAGAAACCTAGAACTAAGGAGAAACTTCCTGACCGTTAGAACAATTAACCAGTGGAACAACCTGCCTCCAGAAGCGGTGAATGCGCCAACACTGGAGGTTTTTAAGAAGAGACTGGACAGCCATTTGTCTGAAATGGTATAAGTTCTCCTGCTTGAGCAGGGGGCTGGACTAGATGACCTCCAAGGCCCTTCCAGATTCTATTCTATTCTATTCTATTCTATTATTCTACAATCTGTCTATTCTATTCTATTCTATTTTCTATTCTATTTTCTATTCTATTCTATTCTATTCTATTCAAGGCTCAACTTTATTTACTCAAGGAATTCACACTGAAGACACCCACGTCTTACCGAATGCTTAAATTCCAATTTGTTTATATTTTAAAGGCAGGGTAGCAGGGAAAGAAAAAAAAACATCTCAGGGAAACCAATTTACAAACAGCTCCAAAATGATCAAGCTACTGCTGAAAAACTCTGCAGAAGAAGAGCGCTGAAAAACAAGCCCGGAAGTGTTTTTTTCCCTACTTTTCTCAAAAAAATAACCATGCAAATAATAAAGGGACATAAACGCAGCGAAGCCCAGCGCCAGGGGCAGAGACGGGCAAGTCTGGAGAGTGACACTCAAAAGGCTGGAGATTGGTTGCCTCTAGTTACGAAGACGGAAAAGCCGAGATATGAAGTGTTGCTATGAAAATCTCGCTTATGCAAACGAAGCGAGCAAGGCGGCCTTCCCACACAATGGCTCGGTCTACGTTTACGGCCTAATGAGATAGCAACGTGAAACAGACTTCAGCCTGCAGGTAAAACATGACATTTTTAATCTCTCACAATAATTACATCCTTGTTGTATTGGGGGGAAGAGAGAGAGAGAGAGAGAGGAGAGAGAAAGAAAAAGAGAGAGAAAGATATAGGAAAGAGAAAGAAAAAGAGGAGAGAAACAGAGGAGAGAGAAAGAGATAGAAGGAAAGAGACAGAAAAAGGAGAGAAGTAGAGGAGAGAGAAAGAAAGAAAGAGATAGAATGAAAGAAAGAAGGAGGAGAGAAACAGGAGAAAGAAAAAAGGAGAAAGAAAAAGAGAAAGAGAAAGAAAGAGAAGGAAAGAGAAGAAGAGAAACAGGAGAGAAAGAAGAGAAAGAAAAAGAAAAAGAGAAGGAGAAATAGAGGAGAGAGAAAGAAAGAGAAAGAGAGAAGGAAAGAGAAAAAGGAGAGAAACAGGAGAGAAAGATAGAAGGAAAGAGAGAAAAAGGAGAGAAATAGGGGAGAAAGAGATAGAAGGAAAGAGAAAGAAAAAGAGAGAGAGAGAAAAGAGAGAAAGAGATAGAAGAGAAAGAAAAAGAGGAGAGAAACAGAGGAGAGAGAAAGAGAAAGAACTTTCCTTGCAAATTAGAAATAAGCACATTGGGGAAAAGATGCTTGCCCAGAGGTCCTGGCTGGACAAATGTACAGGTAGTCCATGAATTATGTCCGTAACGGAGCCTGGAAGTCCTAACGGTCATAAAACAGGTCGCTGATGTGACCGACCTGACTTGGCAGGAGTAAAATACTCCCAAGTGTTTAAAAGGAAGCGCGTTCGCGCCCAGTTTCGACGGGCAGGTTATTTTCGTTGATTTGTGAACTCGGTGGGTAAACAAAAAAGATTTGTCCACCGCGGCGAGTTCGAAACTAATGATGGGGCAATGCAGAAGAACGGAGAAGAGAATCTTTTGAAGTCGCTTCTGCTTTTTTTTTTCCAGGGGCGGGGGGGGAGCGCCTGCAAATTGAAGTGAAGGAAGGGCTTTTCAGAAACGCCGCCGTAAAAAGGGCCAGGTCATGGAAGGGACGAGTAAAACAAGGATATTTTATTCCCCCGCTGTGATTTTAATCAGGTTACTTCTAGCCCTGCGGGCTTATCAGGCTGAAATTTCTAAGGACGCCTCCAAGTTGAAATGGGCCATTAACGCGAGCCGATGGCAGCATTGTCAGCTGAGTAGCAGCTGCAAAAAAACAGCCCTAATGGAAAAGTGTCTTAAGCACTTTATACACCACCGTGAGCGGCTCCATTTGACGCCCGCGCCCGCACGCCTTTGGCGCCAACCCAAAACCCAGGAGCGCGGCTGGAGGCGACAACAGGTGAGAAGCTCAGGGCCAAAAGACCTGGAAAAGCCCACCCACCCCCCAATTATTAGTGTTTTAGTGTCTTAGCAGTTTTGTGATGGAAAGGCCAGGAAAAACTTAGCCAAGCCCTAGTAAGGCCACACTTGGAATACTGCAGCCAATTTTGGTTACCGTATCACAAAAAAGATGTTGAGAGTTTGGAAAAAATTCAGAGAAGAGCAACGAAGATGATCAAAGGCCTGGAGGCTAAAACAGAGACGAAGAACGGTTGCTGGACTTGGGTTTGGCTAGTCTAAAGAAAAGAAGAAACAGGGGAGACATGATAGCAATGTTCCAGTATCTGAGGGGCTGCCACAAGGCAGAGGGGGCCAGGTTGTTCACCAAAGCACCAGAGGGAAGGACGAGAAAGAATGGTTGGAAACTGATCCAGGAGAGAAGCAACCTGGAATTAAGGAGAAACTTCCTGACAGTGAGGACAATCAACCAGTGGAACAGCTTGCCACCAGAAATCGTGGGCGCTCCATCACTGGAGATTTTTAAGAAGAGACTGGACAGTCACTTGTCTGAGCGGGTATAGGTTCTCCTGCTTGAGCAGGGGGCTGGACTAGAAGACCTCCAAGATCCCTTCCAGCTCTATTCTATTCTAAGATGCTCAGAGCAAATGGGGGGAGGAGGGGGGATGGGAGAATGGAGACCAAATTGGGGGGGGAGTTGTCATTTTTCCAAGCTACTGCGTCAGCTGCCCAAAAGGGTACCCATTAACGGAGCCAAGGTTGCAGAGACAAGAATCCAGATGACCGTTACAGGAGAGCAATCAGGTGGAGATAGTCCCTAATTTAGGACCATTTGTTTAGGGGCTGTTCAAAGTTCCGACAACACTTTGAAAAAAAAGTGCTTACGGCTGCTCCTCACACTGACAACTCATTGAACAACTGCTTTCCTTAGCAAGAGAAATTCTGGTTCCAAATGAGGCCATTAAGGAGAGGACTGCCTGTAACGTAATTCTAGCTTGTTAATGGGCATTGAACTTGGGTTCTCCGGTTCCGACACAAAGGGGGAATTTTACTTCATATAAACCACGCAGAAATACTACGGCCCGCTGGCAGGACAGGGTCGGGGAAGGCACCTTCAGACCTGACTGAGTGAATTATGACTCTTAAAAACCTTCCAAAAGATGCGTCGCTTTGATGAACTCCAATTTGCAGCCGCAAAATCGTTTCGCACGCTCCCCTATTTTTTTTTATCCAACCATTGTTATCGATCTTATCCTACCTGCAGCTCGGAGACACAACTTCAGAAAGTCCCAATTAAGAAGCCGCAAAACAGCCCTCTGGTCCCTGACTCAACACGGAGATTTTGGAACGGTATTCAAGAAAGGCCCCGTTCTTCGAATACGTGAGCTTGCAACTTCTAAACACAACCGAAGCTTTTTATTTTTTTTGCCCTTCACGACAACAAAGACGTAGCTTAAACAGGGGATCGATGCTGGCAGGGAAGGCACAGTTTGTCATTTGTCTTTTGTGTGACAATCACAGTTCAATTCTGTAGATTTTGAAGGAGGGAGTTATTCTCTCTGTCTTTTTTTTTTTTTGCTACCAGTCAGTTACCACTTTGGCAGTCATCCAAGCTTGAAAACTCTCTCTCCAGGGACTCCTCCGCTAAGCTAACCAGTCCCATTAACTAGCAGAGTTTCATGAATTCTGCTACCAACCTTTTTTTAAAAGAAAAATAAACTAAAATCAAACACAACTAAAAATCCACGACAAAGGCAATGAAAAGACAGCAGGGGCATTCCATTTAGCTGAAGAACTCTGCCGTTGTTCAAAAAAAAATCAAAAGCACCAAGAGAAAAATGAAAACGCTCTTCGTGTTTATGGCTCTGCTTTTTGCTCGATCGCTTTGGGCTAAAAGCCTTGGCTTACCTCATCTCACTTCAAAAGCCTTGTAAAACTCTAGAACTTTGCTTAGCCCTCCACTATCACCCAAAGTATCCAGGGACTGCTTCTACAGACATTGTCCTTGTTGTGTACGAGAAAGCCATTTATAAAAAGAAACACCAGGAATAATAAGAAAAAAAGTTTTGGGAAACTACGAAGGTTGATAGAGGCATGGCTGTCCTGTAAAAGATGACCGGTGCTGTAACAAAACATTCTCAATCTACTGAAACAGAACCCAAAGCTATGGGAAAAAAACCCTTTTATCATGTTTTTCCTCCTTATTTCATCACATGCTTTTACCCTCATTTTAGAATTTATATTTGGAGTGATCCAGGCAAATCTTCTGGGATCCTTATATCAACAATATTATTTTTTTTCCTCCGAAAAAGACACATTTAGGATGGTTACAGTCAGAAAAAGACACATTTAGGATTGTTACACATATAGGATTGTTAAACATTTAGAATTGTTGCACTTCTTGCAAATGTGTATGTAACATTGGTATCCAAGTCAGCAGTGGTTACCTTACAATGTTGAAATATACACAATAACATCTCTTGGTGAAATCTGTCACAGATATGTCCAAAAGCAACAAACACTGTAACTGATTTAATTATGAATCAACAGCATGATGTGACTACCAAAAAGGCAAACACCGTTGTGGACTGTGCATCAAGAGAAGGTTAATTTCCCAGTCAAAGGCACCAAAATGCCCATTTTATTCAGTATTGATCAGTCCCCACCTAAAGTATTGCCTCAAATTCAGGATATTTATCAAGGAATTTAGAGATGATCTTGGGGAAAATATAAAATAAGAGTTAAGGAGGGACTTGGAGAAGCGATCACACGAGAATAGAATAGAATAGAATAGAATTAAAGTACAGTAGAGTAGAATTAGAGTATAGAATAGAATAGAATAGAATAGAATATATGGAATGGAATAGAATAGAGTAGAATAGAATAGAATAGAGAAAAGAAATAGAATAGAATTAGAGTAGAGTAGAGTAGAGTAGAGTGTAGAATAGAATAGAATAGAATAGAATTAGAGTAGAATTAGAGTATAGAATAGAATAGAATAAGGAATGGAATGGAATAGAATAGAGTAGAGTAGAGTAAAGTAGAATAGAATAGAATAGAATTAGAGTACAGTAGAGTAGAATTAGAGTATAGTATAGTATAGTATAGAATAAGGAATAGAATAGAATAGAACAGAACAGAACAGAACAGAATAGAATAGGAATAAGGAATATTTTAGTCTAGAAGCTGGCCCTGAGTGTGCAATGGAACAGTGGGGGACAAATGACCTTTTCCAATTATTTCATTCCATAATGTAAAACTGCAAATGCTAAAGCCAGTCATGTAAAAAAATGCAAAAGTCCTGCATATGTATGAGAGAATTTTTTTCGCCTAATTTCTGTTTACCTTGGGAAAGAGAGGTGGGTAAAAAAATTCTCCAAGGCTTAAAAAAAAAATGTCAAACGAAGTTACAGCTCCAAAGGGCTCATTGGAGGCCGTTTGGTTTGGTTTGGTTTGTCCCTTTTTCTGTCTCAAGGGTGTCAAAGCATCGTCGCTCAGTTGTGTTGCTTTCCCTTCCCCTTATGCCTTGCTGAGTCTGTCATCAGAAGCAGAGTCTTACCTGAGCGCACCTTCCCAGCTCCAGCCGTCCAAGGGACTGAAATATTTTTAATGCCAATTCGTAAGGCAACTGCACATCAAAAAAGGGGACTTCGTTGATTTCATTCTGAAAAGAAGCAAAAAGGAAAAGGAAAGAGAGATTTTATGTCACGGCAGGTGAAACGGGTTTCCCAGAAAAAACCAGGAAATTTCAGTGGCTTTAAAACTGGGTAAAATCTAACAGAAGAATTTAATTTTATATGCCGCATGAACATCTCAATCCATTTTTTTCCAACATCCACAAGTTACTGAAATATTTATTAAAGGGGGGAAGAATCAATAAAGTGCATTTAGGCTCCCGAGGGCTGTCGGACTTTTCAAAAAAGTGATTCAACTTGGAGGGGGAAGATTTAACCTCAAATGTCCTCTTTGAGACCACATGGAAACTTTTACAGCTTCTGGTATCAAGAGCTTCAAAGTTAGCAACGATTTGGCCCACCAAGGATGTTTAACGCTTTCTAAGCAAGCGGTTTTTTTTTCCTCCTGATTTTTAAGACTGGAATAAGACTGAGACCAAAGTCCTCGACTTACGGCTACAATTTGAGCCCCAAATTTCTTTTCCCAAGCAAGGCAAGTTAAGGGAGTTTTGCACCAGTGGTGGGATTCAAATAGGGGAACAACCGGTTCTCTGTGTGGATGCTGCTTCCAGAATTCCATTCTGGGCCTGGGCGACAAAAAATTAGCTACTGGTTCTTCCGAAGTGGTGCGAACTGGCTGAATCCCACCACAGACAGGAAGGAAGGAAGGAAGGAAGGAAGGAAGGAAGGAAGGAAGGAAGGAAGGAAGGAAGGAAGGAAGGAAGGAAGGAGTGGTAGGATTCAAATATGTGAACAACCGGTTCTCTGTGTAGATGCCGCTTCCAGAATTCCATTCTGGCCCTGGGCAACAAAAAATTAGCTACCAGTTCTTCTGAACTGGTGTGAACTGGCTGAATCCCACCACTGGTTTTGCCCCATTTTAGCACCTTTCTTACCACAAGTTGTTAAGTGAATGATTGCAGCTGTTCAATTAGTAACCCAGCTGTGAATTGAATCTGTCTTCCCCCATTGACTTCGCTTGACAGGTCACAAAAGGGGATCACATGACCCCGGGACACGGCAACCGTCACAAACACATGCCGGATTCTGACCAGGTGACTCTGGGATGCTGCAATGGTTTGTGTGAAAAATGGTCACAAAAGTTACTTTTTTTCGGCACGGTTGTAACTTTGAATGCCTGTAAGTCGAGGCCTGCCTGCGTTATAAGTTGCCCGTTCGATTGGAGGCTGGTGGCAAGAAAACTGAATAAATAAATCACCACCCAATAAATAAGTAATATAACATGTCTCCAGAGTGACTGAAAATGGCTAATGACACCTCAGTCTGCTGTGTGGGTTGTGAGCACGTGAAATCTAATCCATGTTTCCCATACAACAATCAATGTTTATCCAACACGTTCAGCCAAAGGCAAACAAGCCACTTTGCAGTTTATTGTCGTGTGTGAGAATCTTGTCCCTTGTTGTCCGTAAAGCTTGTGGTGGAAAAAAAAAGGATTCAAGCTGTCGAGAAGAACAAACCGCACTCCATCCCTAGACGTGGCTGCTGCTGCTACAAATAAGCCCATAAATGAAATAACTTGAACTCAAGAGAATTTCTGAGTGGTGTCATTACCTTTACTGTATGCCTATTGCAAGATCTGAATGCCAATTAGCACCAAAGACAAAAAAATAAGGCAAAAAAAGGGAGGGAGGGGTCTATCTGGTTAAAATAGCTCCATTTTCTCTCTCTCTCTCTTTTTTTTTTAATGTGATGGACAAAATCCAAAAGATAAACATTGGCATCTGCTCCTTAGAGACACACATTTACACATCAGCGCACTAATGGAACTCTAGTTTACTAAATGGATTAATTCGCTGCCATCAGAAATTTAATCTGTGGCTTTTTAGCAGGAGGGAAATAAAAGTGCAGCTCACTAGAATGGGGAGGATTTTAAACCCTGCATACTCCTTTTAAACCTGCATACATGGCATTAAATATAGAAATATATCTATCAGAGACAGTTAAGGTACATACAGGTAGGTCCTTGACTTACGGCCATAATTGACCTCCAAATTTCTGTAACTAAGTGAGACATTTGTTAAGTGAAGTTTGCCCCGTTTTACAACTTTCTTGCCACAATTGTTAAATGAATCCCTGCAGCTGTTAAGTTAGTAACACGGTTGTTAAGTGAATCTGGCTTCCCCACTGACTTGGTTTGTCGTAAGGTCGCCAAAGGGGATTCCCCTGACCCCGGGACACTGCGACCGTCATAAATACGAGTCAGTTGCCAAGCGTCTGAATTTTCATCACGTGACCGTGGGGAGGCCGTGAGGGTCGTGAGTGTGAAAAAAGGGCATAAGTCGTTTTTTTTTCAGTGCCACCGTAACTTTGAATAGTCATTAAATGAACTGTTATAAGTCGAGGACGACCTGCCTGGGGGAAAAAGGCAATAGACAATTCTTGACAGTGGGAGCAGAGACAGGAGCACTTTGTACATATTTCAAATTGGAAATAAACACAGGTGATATTTAGAGAGTCACTGTTAAGATCCTGAAGGGGCCTGGAATGGCACCATGGTCCTCTTTTAAGACCACAATCCTGTCACGCTAAAACAATTCTATATTTATATTATTGTTTTTACATTTGTTTTTATATATCTTTATGTTTTGTTACATTTTAAACTGCCCAGAGTCACCTCGAACCACGAGATGGGCAGCATATCAATTTAATAAATAAATTCTGTTCTCACCATAGCTGGTGCCATTGCTGAGAACATGGAGGGGTGAAAATGCAACTAGCTAAACCACTAACCATGGTTTACTAAGTACGATGACTGAGTTCCACAACAGAATGGGTCACAATCAGCTGGTGTGGTGCAAGTAATATGTGGCTGAATTAGGACCGGGGAGATCTGGGTTCAAATCACACAAAAATCATGCTTCCAATGCATGTACACAAGAAACCGTGCAACCCAGATAAAAGCATCTTTGAGTCAAGGCCATTAACTTCATCTTGTCTCCTCTTGTCTATGCTCATATACATCCTCAGCTACATTGAACAAATGGCTTTTCCCCCCACCCCACCCCAATTCCAACACCACTGGAAGACAGCTGGCTGGCTATTGGGGGGACCAGGAATGGAGGCAGAAAAGGCCACACGCTGCCAATGGGGAATAGATTTCACACTACTGTCCTTTTCCAACAACTCCAAGGGGTGCAGGGCCATAGATTCTCAGAATCCCCACTGATTCAGCGACTTTGGGCCAGTCCTTACTCCCTCAGTGCAATTCATCTTCTGAAGGGATAAGGGGGTGTGTGTGATTAATTTTGGGCTGGTGGTGGAGTGAACACGATCTTAACCCCCTCTCTAAAAATGTAGGCTATCACGTGCAGTAGTCAAGGGCGATAAAGGCATAAGCACAATCTCTTGTCATGTTCATGCAGTGTACTATTGGAGATGGTTACCCTTTGAGAGCTGAACGCAACAAAATTTCATTTTAATGTACGCTGATTAGTGTACATTTAAAGTGACAATAAAGTTATTATTCTATTCTGTTCTGTTCCATTCTATTTATTCCATTTCATCTGTTCTATTCTATTCCATTCCATTCTCATCCATTCACTATTCTATTCTATTCTATTCTAATTTTCCATTCCATCCCATCTTCTATTCTATTCTATTTTCTATCCTGTCCTATCCTATATATAGTACAGTATGTCAGATCCTCCTGCCTTTCGGAAGAGATCAGGTTTGGTTTAGTTCCCCCCCCCCATGAGGCTAATTGTCCTCCTCCTCCTCCTTCCAGCATTTATATGTATCCATCAGGCTATTTATTTTACATGGGGGGGGAGTTGTTTCTACATTTTGCTTTGTCGTGGGGCCCTCCTTGATTTTTAGTGTTGTTGACTCTAACAGCCATCCAAAAGCGGGACGAGAGGCAGCGGATAATGGGCTCTGTAACCCTCCCGGAAAGGCACCAAGCTGCGGAAAGAGGGGAGGGGGGCTCCAGGCCCTGAAACCGGGCAGGGGGTGGGGGAACCTGCTGAAGCCGAGATTTCCCATACCAAGTCTTGGATGAGCTGCCCCAGGAGGTCCTCCTTCCCTCCTCCGGGGGTCTGGGCAGCGGGGTCGGGGTCTGGGTCAACCGCAGGGCCCGGCGCGGGAGAGATGCGGAGGAGGCGCTGAAGCGGCGGCTCTTCCTCCAGCAGCCCCCCAATGAGACCCCCGTAGCCGCCCCAGCCTCGCACCGCCTGCGGCTCCTCGCCCTCCGCTTCTCGCGGCCTCTTCCGGCCTCCGCCGCTCTTCCTCCGCCGCCTCGGAGCCTCCCGGGCCAGCTCGGCCTGCCAACGGCGGCGGAAAGAGTCGAGCGCCGCCACAGAGGCATTCTCCACCATAGCGGAACGGCGGCGCGTCGACGGACGGACCACTTCCGGCCGCGACGGTCCGGCTCGCAAAGGCGGCCGGCAGGGAAACGGCGCGCGGCGCACGAACGTTCCGCGCAGCAAAGAGGTGTTTCCGTTAAACCTCTCTCCCCCCCCCCCCCCCCAAAAAAATAAACCCCCGAATCCCGGAGCTTGCCGAGTGTCCGTTCGCTGCGCGTCACGTGACGGGGTTCGCGTGCAGCGTTCGCCTGTGTGGAGTTTCCCCCCCCCCAGCGACCTGCGGGTCCAATCCGCAGTCATCCGTGGGCAACTCGGGGTGGGAGGCTTGCTGTGTTAGAGAACGGCTCGCCTCCAGACGTGGTGGGCGCTCCATCACGGGAGGTTTTCAAGAACGGACAGCTATTTGTCCAGAATGGATACTATATAGAGTCTCCTGCTTGAGCGGGGGGGTGGACTAGATGACCTCCAAGATCCCTTCCAACCCTGTTATTCTGTAATTTCGTAAGGGTCTCCTGCTTGCATTGAGGGGGTGGACTAGAAGACCTCTGAGGTCCCTTCCAACCCTGTTATTCTGTAATTTTGTAAGGATCTCCTGCTCGGGCAGGGGGGTGGACTAGATGACCTCTGAGGTACCTTCCTATTCTGTTATTCTGTAATTATGTAAGGGTCTCCTGCTTGAGCAGGGGGGTTGGATTAGATGACCTCCAAGGTCCCTTCCAACCCTGTTATTCTGTAATTTTGTAAGGGTCTCCTGCTCGGGCGGGGGGAGGGTTGGACTAGAAGACCTCTGAGGTCCCTCCCACCTCTTCTGTTATTTTCCTCTGTTTGGTCCTTCCAGATGAAAATTCTGCAAAACTGGTGGGGACCACCAGGTGACCACAGAGATTGAGTTTGCCATAGCCCGTGGCTGCCATCTACTGGCCATTTGGCGATTGGCAATCCATCTCTAGGGACTGCGATGGGGATGGACCCAGCAGCAACAGAAAATTAAAGATGGAACTGTGTTAAGACAAAGCAGCCTTCAGTGACTGTATGTGTTGGACACTAGTTCCTTCTTGTCTCCACTTCACCACGGCTAGGAGTTATGGCATCTGTAGTCCAACCCATGGGCCACATCTTTGCACCGTTGGTTGTGCTTGCTAAGGTTGAATTTCACAATACCTAGAGGTCTTTTGCCCAGGCTATATTTCAAACTTGGCAACTTTTTAAGATGTGTGGACTTTCAGCTCCCAGAATTCCCCAGCCAGCATGCAGTAATGTCCATTTGCCTTATCCAAAGCTGTTGCAGCAGAGAGAGGGGTGTTCTTTGTGTTTGTGAAACTGAGCAGAAAATCAGACGGTGTACACAAGTTGGCTTGTGAAATTGATTCAAGCTTCTTGACTATCATTTTTATTACAATGGTCCCTGAGGTCTTTCAGGGATGAGGCTGATTTCCTGGAGCCTTCCTTTATTTTGGAATATTTGCTTTATTTATTCTTGTCAAAAGGAGTTAAAAGCAGGTAGGCAGTCTTAAAAAAAACAATCAATTCAGGTCCAATCTCAAAATACAAAGCTGTCTAGCATTTCAATATATTGTAACCTTTAATTAATATGCTTCACTCTTGTCTCTCGATTTGCTGTCTCTCTTTGCTTGTACGTATTCAAAACTGCGAACTTTTTTTTTTTTTAAAATCAGCAATTTGTCAAACACCCAGTTCATCCTGCGGGTGAATTGCCTATTGGGGGACTTATAATTCCTCAGCAATTAAAAGTTAACACTCCCATGTCAAACATTTTAAAATGTAGGGTGGCTTCACACCTTGCACGAAATGCTAAGCTGTGCTTTTCCATAAGTTGGAGTGTGTAAGTGTGCAAGGACTAGGTAGGAGATACGTTTGAATCATACCCTCGTCTAAATAACGTGTTTTTTTCATCCCTTTGCAAAACCTGCTTCAAAGGTGCGCAGAGGTAGCTGCTTCGTACATTATTATGTACCTGGAAGGACCACAGGACAATGCTTTAAGGCAGAGGTCTTCAAACTTGGCCCTTGGATGACTTGTGGACTTCAACTCCCAGAATTCCTCAGCCAGGCATGCGTGCTTCCCCTCATTTGATCCTCGCAACGTAGGACAAGCCCAGATAAAGATTGTGCTGACATTCCAAATTAAATCATAGCATGTACATTGCTTGGTTTGGGGTTATTACATGGTGTGATCCTGGCTTTGCAGGGTGTAAGCCGTGGTTTTAAATCTGAGCCAATTCCATTCAAAAATAAAAGCGTGAGGTGAGAGCTAGATGAGGGGCACAACAACATAACTTGTGGTACTTGAAAGCGTAACAGGTCCGCCGTTCCATGGCAAAGTGAAATAAATAAATCCATAAAAGGATTGTGTGGTCATGAATTTGCTTGACTTTTAAGGAGAGGAGGAGGAGGAGGAGGAGGAGGAGGAGGAGGAGGAGGAGAGAAGAGGGAGGAGGAGAAGGAGAATGTTTGAAAAGAGAGGTAAAGAAACATAAGAAGCAGAGAGAAAGCAAAAAAAGAAGAAGAAAGAAAATGAAAACGGGAAATGGGAAAGGAAGAAGAGCTTGAGAGAAAGAGGAGGAGAAAGAGGTATAAAAGGGGGAAATCAAGAATAGAACGAAAATGAGAGAGAAGGGAAGGGAGAAAATCAGGAAGAAAAGGAAAGGTGAGAGAAGGAAGGAAGGAATGAAAAGGATGGATGGAAGGAGGGAGAAGGATGGAAGGAGGGAGAAGGAAAGGAAAGAAGAGAAGGAAGGACAGGGAAAGGTGAGAGAAGGAAGGAAAAGGATGGATGGAAGGATGGAGAAGGAGGGAGGAAAGGAGAAGGAAGGAGGGAAAAGGGAGGGAGGGAGGGGAAGGAAGGAAGAAGGAAAGGAAAGGTGAGAGAAGGAAGGAAGGAAAAGGATGGATGGAAGAATGGAGAAGGATGGATGGAAGGGAAGGGAAGGAGAGAAGGAAGGATGGAAAAGGTTGGATGAAAGGATGGAGAAGGAGGGAAGGAAGGAAGGAGAAGGAAAGGAAAGGTGAGAGAAGAAAGGAAGGAAACGGATGGATGGATGGATGGAAGGAAGGAAGGAGGGAGGGAGAAGGAAAGGAGAGAAGGAAGGAAGGAAAAGGACGGAGGGAAGGAAGGAGAAGGAAAGGTGAGAGAAGGAAGGNCTCCGGAGCGCAACTCACCGCGGCGCGCCTCCAGGCCATCGGCGATGAGCTGCAGGCGCGGACGGCGGCGCGGAGCCGCCGCGCCTCGGCCGGCACCAGCCTGGCCACGTCCTTGGCGCTGCTGGCCGCCCTGGCCTGGCTGAGCCGCCGGGGCCGCATGTAGGGCGGGCGGCCGGAGCCAGCGGCCCCTCGACGGGCGGCCGAGCGAGTCAGCGACATCCGTGGCAGGTGAGCGGCGGCGCGCAAGAGGCACCGGGTGTGTGTGTGTGTGTGTGTCAACCTGGGCTCCCGCGGCGGGGAGGTGGGAGAAGCGTCTGGGGTCTCTCTCCCCCCCCTCTCCTGCGGTACTACAGCTCCCATCTTCCCCAGCCCTCCCGCCTTCCGTCTTCCCCAGCCCTCCTGCCTTCGTCCCGCCAGGAAGCAAGCGCGCCTTTGCTCCGTGCGCCATCCGGAGCGCCTGGCCGGCGGGAGTTCGCAGCTCCGGAGCTCACCTTGGGGGGGGGGGGGAGCTCAGCTTGCTCCGCGCCTCCCTCTCTCCCCTTCACCTGTCAAATGGGGGAGCCCCAGGCTTGTCAATTCGAGGGAGGGAGGGCTTTGGGCCCCTGGAAAGCATCCTGCAGGCGGGCACAGCGAGAATTCTCTCTCCGGTGGATGGAAAGCGTCCTGAACCAAAGTAAATAAAGAGCATGTCCTGTGGAACTCCTTGCCACAAGGTCTGGCGGGTGTGTGTGTGTGGATGGCTGTTGCTGTGGGGAGATTCTACAGGAGGTTCTCAATCCTCCAGGTCACAGGTGGTCCCAAAGGTGCTTTTTTCCGGAGGCAAGCGGACTTTCTTGTTTCGCTTCTCATCCGAGAAGCTTCTTCAGCTCGGACTGGATGGTGGGGAAATTGGAAGGATTGATACTCCTTGCAGACAGATGATCCAGTCAGAGCCGAAGAAGCTTCTCGGATGAGAAAGCGAAACGTCTTCGAAGGAAAAAAAAACCAAGGAAGTCCAGTTGCCTCCTGAAAAAAAGCATCTTTGGGCAAAGCAGATGGATCAGACCCCAGGATCAAGGGGTTGGATTAGAAGACCCCCGAGGTCCCTTCCGGCTGTTATTCTGTTAGGGAGGTTGGTGCAAAGCTTTTCACAGCTTCCAGGTATCAATCAAAGCGAATATGGGTAGCTCAGGGCTGAAGTGAGGGATCCTTGGTGCTCTCTGAGCTTGGTGGTTTTCTTGCAGACGTTTCATGACCCAAACTAGGTAACATCATCAGTGCTAGAAGGGAGTGGGGTTTGTGGAGAAGGAGGGAGGGAGGGAGGAAGGAAGGAGTATGGGGTCCTTGGTGCTCTCTGAGCTTGGTGGTTTTCTTGCAGACGTTTCATGACCCAAACTAAGGAACATCATCAGGGCTAGTGCCAGTTTCCAGGTAGTTTTGCAGCTCCCATCAAAAAGGGCAGTGGGTCCAACCTGATGTTTGCGTGGGGGACTTCCCAGAGCCAGGTTTTTTTTTCCCTGCCGTTGAGAGAAAACCAAAAACCAAGTTGATTGGACCTGCAGGGCTCTTAACTTCCCAGCCCTCGAAATGACGCGGCTCTTGAAAATTGTGTGGATCAGCTTCGCCTCCCGGGCATCGGCTTCTTCCTAGCCAGCCAAGGGGGGAGCACGGTACTCCAAGCTGGGCACTGGGTGCCCAGGCACATACCTGTGAGATTCGCTCTTCCCATCTCTGCTCTGGGCTAAGAGGTGGCGTCTTCAAGCCAAGAAGGGACTAATTGCCGCTCCGAGGGAGCAATCAAGATCAGCTCAGGAGAAAAGAAAAAAGATCAGAGTTTGAGGTCAGGAATTGGGTTGTGTTTTTTTTTTTTTT